GGGGTGGGATGCCGAGCTGCGCCTCGCCAGAAGTGGGCCAGTGACTTGTCCCGGTGGATGGGCTCCTCAGCTCATCTGGAGCCTGGCCTGTAGCCACCAGGTTTTTCTGAGCGGCTCCTCCCACAAATCTGAATAGTCTCCGATTCCAGGACAGCCACCCAGTGTTGGTGGTCATTGTGCTTTGGCCTGGCTTTCTCACCAGAGTCAGGTCCTCGAAGTTTGTGAGTGTCTGTGCATGTATGGGTATGTATGGGAGGAGAGGGACCTTATTGGTATGTGTGTGGGGGCGTGTAGAGTACGGTATTCTTTTGCCTGCAGCTGCCTTTCAGGTAATAACAGCTAATGCCTTTGTAGTTGTCAGCTTTGGTCGGTATTAGGTCTCCACTGTTCAGGCAAGGTAACTGAGACTCAGGCAGCATGATTTGGTCCCAGCACAAGAGCCAGACATTGCCTGACCCCAGCCTATCTGCTCCCCTCACAACTGTCACCTGGCCTCTGGTCTAGAGGGAGCTCAGCGTTTGAAGCCTCAGGCTTGTAAGTCTTTGCAGCTACAAACTGATGGCCATGAGCTTGAGTTCAAGCCACAGCCCTTTGGTATTGGAGGCTAGGAGCTCCCCAGTGACCTTGAGGCAGGATGAGGAGCCCTGCAGAACTGTGTTCCCAAGTTGCCCTGGTCTCCCTGGCCCCTCCTCTCTGCTCTCGCACAGGCTTTGCTACCGTTCTCTCTGGTTCTGCCGCTGTCTGTCTGGACAAGCCCGCCCGGCTGTATGGACTCCCTCTTGTCCTTGGGTGAGGCCTGTTGGTACGGGGTCAGTGGTTGTGTGGGTGCAGGGCTCCCCTCTCAGCCTCTTGCACATGTACACAGAGGAATGGGAGGTTTTGAGAGGAGCAGGCGGCCAGGACACCCTTCCTGCTGCATATCTTGGCTGCTTCCCAGATCACTCGCCTTAGGAACCGAGTAGGTGTGTCACTAAGATTCCACAGTCCGGGGACAGACTCGAGAAAACTTGGCAGCTTATTGTGACAGTGTCAGTGTGGCCGTCGTCTGCAGTCCGCGTACACACAGACGCTCACATGGGGTAGGCACCCGCTACACACTAGCCTCATAACTTCTTTTACCGAGACTTTATTACAAGAATAATGAAACTGGAGTGAAATAACACTGCCAGCACACGCTCCAGAATAATTTGTTCTAAAAACTGCTGTTTGACTTTTCCGCACGTCCTCCAAGGAGCCTGGGTCTGGTTTCCTGACCGAATGTGCACAGGGGCCTGAGGGCTGTGACCAGCTGCTGTCTCTGCTCCTCTTCCTCTGCCTCCGGGGCTCCTGGGGCTGGGCTCCCAGTGCGTGGGCCTGGAGAGGGCTCAGCCAAGCAGAGTGTTGTGCGCCTGACTCCAGGTCTCCCCTCTTGCATGCTGATGTTCCTCTCAGCCCTCCTAACCCTCCTGGCAGCTTGGACTTCTCCCTTGTCCTCCTTTCTCTGTGGTTTCAGCATCTCCAGTTCTTACTTCTTGGGACAGAGCTGATGTTCTCTTCTCTCCTAGGAGGGACTCCAAAGCCAGAGCCCGAGCAGGTGATCAGAAACTATACTGAAGAGCTGAAGACAGCCCCAGATGAGGTAGGTGCACAGGAGGCAGGCTGCTTGTAGTTTTGTTTGGAAACAAGGGGCAGCTCCAGACAAGAAGGCCGCCAACCTGGTCTGTGCTAGAAGGGCACCTCCGATGCCTGCACCATGCTCTGGGCACTTGGGGTTAATCTCCCAAGATGAGGCGGCTGTAGCTTTTGAAACTTAGATTTCAATCTTAGCTTTGTCACAAACAAGTGTGATCCTGAGCAAAGCTCCTCGCTTGCTGTACCGGGCTGTGTAGTCCTGTGCCATGCTGGGGTTGGGAGTCCTGGAGAAAGGAATGGGAGAGCCTGCCCCACTCCCCGAGGCTGACGCTGGTGGACAAGGGAAGTGGCCTCGTCCAGATAGCAGTCCTACCCCTTGGCTGTGGGAGAGCAGGTCAGGGTTCCTGTAATTAACAGGGCCTGCCAGACCCTGTGAAAGCGTCAGTAGGATCCGAACCTCTCTCTCTGCTGAGCCACATTGAGGGGCCATGAGTGCCACTTGTCTCTGATTTGATGGAGAGTCCTGAGAATCTGGAGGAGGTGGGCTACATGTCAGTCCTTCCGGTCCAGAACCGAGGACTCTGCGCTGGCCTGTTTCTCCTGCAAGTTGAGTACGTGAGAAATGTATGGTCGGTAAAGGTTTAGACAGAAGCCTGAAAGGCATTCTTGTGTCTCCCATCCTCCCTCCAGTCCTCTCTGTTCCCACTTCACAGCACTAATTTTTCTTTCTTTTTGCCTTTGTGCTAAAAACCTGCTGAAAACCCCTCCACAAGGCCTGATATATAAGACAAAGCCCCGACTCCTGAGCATGATCAGAAGTTTCTAGGACCTGATCCTCACCTGTCTTGTCTCATCTACACCTTGTTCACCCTGCCCCCTATAGGTGCTACCACCCCTCCCAGACTATACGCTGGTTCATGCCTCAGATCGTTCTCTCCCCTGTAGCCAGAACATCCATTCCCGCTCTTACCCATCCAACAAGTTCCCCTTTTCCTTGTAAACCCAGCTTGGAGGGCCTCTCCTGTTTTCTTCTCCTCTATCTGGCTGTTCCTGCTGCTGTGTTGGCTTTGCTTCTGTTCCTGCACTGGCCCCTGGCTCAGTGCTGCCTGTCCTTTCTCCTACTATGGTAAGCCCCTGAGGGCACAGATCCCAGTGACTCATCTGTTCCCAGCCTCTGGAACAAATGACTGTTGAATTGACTTTGACTGTAACTCTGGCAGGTCAGCAGATGAAAGCCTTTTCCTACAAGTCTCGCCTCTGGGTGCAGTGTCTCTTTTGGCGAACGTTCCCTGTGTTGGTCCCCCTCCAGGACTGCATCATCTGTATGGAGAAACTGTCCATGGTGTCTGGGTACAGTGACGTGACCAACAGCATGACCATTGGACCAGTGGCTGTAGGCCGCCTCACCCAGTGTAGCCATGCCTTCCATCTGCTCTGCCTGCTGGCCATGTACTGCAATGGAAATAAGGTGCCTACATGCTGACCCAGGGTGGGGGCCAGGGGTGACCTGTCCCGGTCATGCTGCATCTGAGCAGGTGACTGTAGCTGCCTTGTGAAGGACCTGGGGTGTGCTCAGAGGCAGCCCCTTCCCTGCAACAGGATGGGGTTGGGGGCTGGAGGTGGCGGGTGATGTCTGGCTGCTCTTCCTTCAGTGGCGTTTAGCCAGAATGGACAGAGGTTGGGAGGACGGAGGGAACTGAGACATGAGGCAGACCTTCAGGCGTGGCTTGGCCTTTCTCCACAGTATCCCTGTGTATCCTGTACCAGCAGGGTGCCAGCCCCAACAGTTGATCAGTCACAGGTTTCTTGCTTGACTTGAAATGTGAATAGACTGGGGACTTTTGTTCATCAACCTGATTTTTCTACCTGATGCCAGTCTCCTTTAATGAAAATTATATAACGAGTTTCTGGTACAAAACTTGTCTTTCTAAGGAAGCTGTTGGAATCAAGTTTCTGTGTGAGGAGGCTGCCTGGGAGTTGGGCCACCTGCCCAGACCTGATGTGTGATGTCAGCGACCTGCCCCCCTGCAGCCTCCTTCTCATCTAGATGGTGGGTGGCTGTGCCTGGGTGCCCCCCCGGGGCCTCCAGCTCAGTGTGTGGCGTTCTGCCTTGTCTCAGGATGGAAGTTTACAGTGTCCTTCCTGCAAAACCATCTACGGAGAGAAAACTGGGACCCAGCCTCGGGGGAAGATGGAGGTGTTCAGCTTCCAGGTGTCCCTCCCTGGCCATGAGGACTGCGGGACAATACTCATAGTTTACAACATTCCTCACGGCATTCAGGTAAGGGCCCGGGCCAAGAGGAGCCTCCTGGGATCTGCCTGGAATCAGCCCTCTCCCAGCAGTCTGTCCCCTGTCACTGTGGGGATGTCCAGGTTGCCAAGTTCAGGCCTCCAGGAACCAGGAGGCACTAGTCCAGGGGGTTACAGCAAGCTCTTAGGAAGCAAAGATGGCCCTCAGCTCCTTCCTGAGATAGGGAAGGCTTCCTGGAGGCAGCGACGTCTTAGCTGGATCTGTACTTGGCAGAAGGTCAAGTGTATAAGCAGGAAGAGCACTTGCGTTGAGGACCCTCATGGGGCCCCAGGACGGGACGGGGAGGTGCCAGCAGTGAAGACTGATGGAGAGACCGGCTCAGTAGCCAGATGAGGCTGGGTTGGGAGTGGCAGGGCTGAGTCTCGACGTCAGAAACAAGACAAAGATCCCAGCAGAAGGCTGCAGGGTCCCCGTGAGACCCGGGTAGGAGCACTGGCCCCTCGGGCCTCCTCCTGTGGGCCAGGGTTGGTCTCAGAGCCAACCCCGGGGCAGTTTGGAAAGATGCAGGGCAGTGGGGACCAGGAGACCGAGGGGGCCATCCCTCTATTTTGTTTAATCGTGTGCTCTTCCCTGGTTGCCTTCTACTACTTCTCCTTGGCTGAGAGTGACATTTTAAAGCATTCTAGACAGGGTTGGAGCCATAGGCCAGAGGGAAACTCGTTGCTATATGTGACGCGTCACTGTGTGTCAGAGGACAGGAGCAAGGGCTGTGCAGACCACACTCCTGTGCAGACCACGGCCACTGTCTCAGGGCCCTGCTCCAGCCACCTCTAGAGTGAAGACTGGAGGGGCCTCTGTGCTGGAGTGAGGGTGTCCTGAAGACTGGCAGACGCGCTGTCCAGTCCAGAGAGCCCCGTGCCTGGAGGATTGCCGAAGGAAGTAGGAGCCTCCGTCCAGCCTCTGAGGGGTTCTGTTCTCATCGGGGAAATAGAAGAAGTTAGGAGTGTCTGGTGCCAGGCGGAGTAGCATGCATTCAGGGAGGGCAGCCATGTTCACGTTGGGTCTTCTAGGGGCAGGATTTGAGAGAAGCGGCCATTTATTTGGCCACTTGAGCTTAGGAACAGCCCCAGCCAGGAGGGTAAAGGGGCGAGGCTGGGCCTTGCATGTTTTGTGCAGCTCTAGTGGGTGAGCCCCTCTCGGAGCACCCCCACTCCCTTGTCTGTGTTCCTCCTGCAGGGCCCTGAGCACCCCAACCCCGGGAAGCCGTTTACTGCCAGAGGGTTTCCCCGCCAGTGCTACCTTCCCGACAATGCCCAGGGCCGCAAGGTAAAGCCCCATGCCACCCTTGGGAAGGGCTGCCTGCTGGCAGGCCTGTGCCAAGTGCTGGTCCAATGCAAGGCCACTCCCTTCCCAGGAACCCTGCTGTGGGCTGGGCATCCTCAGGGTGCCGGGAATACCGGGCCGTACTTTCCTGGGGCGTGGGGAGGAGAGACTGTCTTCGAGCAGCCTAGTGGGCCAGGTTGTGCTGCTGCACCGACACCCGGGGTAGGACTTTCCTTGCCTGTGGGAGACAGAACAGCTAGTGTGACAGCTTTGAGATGGGAACAGGCTGGGAAGATGTGAAGAGCCTGAAGGAGGACCAAGTGGGTGAGGGGGAGTGAGGTGCACAAGGAGCGAAGGTGGTTGCTGGCCTGTGGGACTGGGGCTTTAGTCTAAGCACTGCATGCTGCCGTGAGGTGAGGGTGTGTCAGCAGAGCTGTAGAAGCTGCAGATTTTAGGTGTGAGAAAGCTGTCTCTGCTGCTGTGAGAGGATGGACTCCAGGTGGCTGCGTGTGGAGAGCAGCAGGAACGGGAGAGAGCAGGGAGCCTGGATTCGATGAGGAGGGACAGAAGGAAGCTCATCTGGGATGTACTTGGAAGTAGGGACTAATCAGGTGTCAGGGGATGAGCCAATGGCAGCACTGTCTGAGGTGGGAGGGCCAAGACTTGAGTCATGGACGTGCTCAGTGTGAGGTCCATTGGACTGTCAGAACAGCAGCTGGCATTCCAGAGGGGTCAGGGTTAGCACTAAAAGCTGGGGACCTCCACAGATGGGATTTCATCTGGGACTGTGGATGACACCACTTAAGGTGGCAACAGAACAGAATGGAGAGGAGAAAGGGCCCAGCTCCCAGGGGCCCTGCTGGTGGTTAATGGCACGTGTTGAACGAGCCGAGGTCCTAGCGTGCAGCACGGACACAGCCCACAGCTGACATTGGCGGGTGGCTGGTGCTGCTGACCTCATCCTTACTACTGGGGCAACTTAGGGGAGGGCAGTGGGTGCTCCCACCTTGTCTCCTGGCAAACTCTTCCCCAGGGTGGAAAAACCTGTGAAGGCCAGTGCTTATTCACCCTTCCTTCCCCCTCACTTCCTCTTCCTTCTCTTCCTCCTCCTCCTGGGGCAGGTCCTAGAGCTGCTGAAGGTGGCCTGGAAGAGGCGACTTATCTTCACAGTGGGGACGTCCAGCACCACAGGCGAGACGGACACGGTAGTGTGGAACGAGATCCATCACAAGACAGAGATGGACCACAACGTGACAGGCCATGGCTACCCCGACCCCAACTACCTGCAGAATGTGCTGACTGAGCTGGCTGCCCAGGGAGTGACTGAGGACTGCCTGGAGCAGCAGTGACCACCAGCTGGCAGCCAGCCGCCCATCCCCACTGCCGGCTGGGCTGCTCTTGAGATGGGCCGGCAGGAAGGTGCTTTCGGCAGGAGCTGGCATGTTTACTGGGGGGGTGGGCATTTTCCACCGAAGCTGGGGCCTCTCCTGTTTGCCTTTCCTCCTTCCTCTTCCCCTCCAGGCCTAGATTTGCATGGGAATCCGCAAGCCTGGGGAGTTGTACTTGTGGGGGCTTAAGATGCTGCTACCTCAGTGCTGGGGGCCTGGCATGGGCTGAGGAGAGACTGCCCCCCCCCTAGCCAGGGGCAGGCATGGGTCTGGGTCAGCTTCTCATACCTCAGATGTTCTGTTTGCAATAAATGTCCAATAGCCAAAGTCAGCAGGCCCTAGTGCATTTGTCAGTGGAGAGGATGTGTGTTTATATGTGCACACGTGTGCATGTGTGTACGAGATGTATGAAGGCCTGCACACACGTGTCCTGCTGGAAAGGACCTATGGGCTGCCCATTCAACTCCCATTTCCTAAATGAAGGAACAGGCTGCAGTGAGCCAGAGAGCCCATGCACTGACCTGTGCTGCTTCCCCATCCCCCACTCTGGTCCTTGCACTGTGGAGTCCAGCAACTCTGAGCCCACCATCCTATTACTTCCCCAAGTTCTGGGGAGCACACTGCTCATAGGAGGCAGGTGCTGCTGCCTCCATTTTACAGATGGTGAAACTGAGGTTCAAGGATATAGTGACTGGCCCAAGGTCCCAGCTAGTGGTAGAGCCAGAGCTGGAATCCAGGACAGGATTGGTCTGACATCATCCTCAAAGTCATAATCCTTCTGAACCCGCTCAGAAAGAGGATCACATACTCTCAGACTCGGTCTCTGCCGGGGCTGGGGTGGGGTGGAGTGCTTGTGGCCTGAGCCTGGAGGCGCACACAGCCGCACTTGGGCCAGGGCCAATTTTGCCTTTGTGGATCCTTCCTTTATAAGAAAAATGTTAGCCTTGGCCAGGTGGAGTGTCGTCCTATACACCAAAATCTTGTGGGTTCGATTCCCGGTTGGGGGACATACCTAGGTTGTGGGTTTCTCCCTCTAAAATCAATAAAACCGTATCCTTGGGTAAGGATTAAAAGAAGAAGAAAAATTGTGCCTGACTGGCGAGGCTCAATGGTTGAGCATCAACCTTGAACCTATTCCCAGTCAGAGCACATGCCTGGATTGTGGGCTCGATCCCCAGTGTGGGCCGTGCAGGAGGCAGCCAATCAATGATTCTCTGTCATCATTGATGTTTCTCTCTCTCCCTCTCCCTTTCTCTCTGAAATCAATAAAAATGTGTTTAAAAACAGAAGAAAAGTTAAATTCTGTTTTATGATGTGTTGATATAAAGATGAAAATATGTTTGAGGATTTTCTTCCATTTAGAAGTTTATTTTGTTCCCTTCTGATTTTAAAAGAAACTAGGACTTTTCCTGGCCCCTGAATGTATTGTGGGCCCTGGGCACTGCCCACGAGCCTAATGGGGAGCTGGTCCTAGGGAGGGCAGGGAGGCCTGGCTGCCCCCCAACCTGTTTGGTTCCACAGTGAGACCCACTCCACAGGCTCACAGGGCTCGGGAGCTGGGTGGGCACCTGCATGCTGCTGCCCTCTTGACTCCCACCATTAAAGTATAATGAGAATCCGAAAGGGAGAAAGAACATGTTTGCAAATCATCTACCTGATGAGGGTCTAGTACCCAGACTGTATAAGGAACTCAACAAGAAGAAAAATACCCTTTTTTTCAAAAAAAAAAAAAAGGACTTTTCTCTGAAGAAGATATGCAGATGGCTGACAGGCACATGAAAAATGTTCAGTGTCATCAGGGAAACAAAACCACAAAGTGATACCATGTCCTGCCCAGTGAGAATGGTTATTACAAAGAAAAGGGAAAACAGCAAATGTTTTGAGGACGTGGAGAAACCGGAGCCCTTCGCTGCTGGTGGATGTGAAGTGCAGCCGCTTTGGCGAACGGTGGGGCAGGTCCTCAGAAAGTGGCTGCCATGACGCAGCCACCCACTCCCAGGGTCACATCCGCGCCCTGAAAACATGTCCAAACCAAAGCGTGTTCACGAGTGTTCCTAGCAGCGTTATTCATAACAGCCAAAAGGCGGGGAAACCCCCCTGCTCAGCTGGTGAATGGCTAAACTAAATGTGGTCTGTCCATCCCGTGGAATGAGCCTTAGCCGTAAAAATGAAGGACTGACCTATGGCAGCATGGATGAACCTTGAAAACATGATACCAAGTGAAAGCCAGACATGACAGGCCGCATCCTGTATGATTTCATTGTGTGAAATGTCCGGAATAGGCAAATCCAGGCAGAAAGTGGGAGTGGTTCCCCGAGGGGAGGGAGCGGGGGTGACTTTTTATGGGCACTGTGTTTCTTCTTGAAATGAAAAATTTCTGGAATTAGTGTTGGTTGCACAACCTTGTTAATATACTAAAAACCAGTTAGCTGTGCACTTTAAAAGGGTGAATTTTATAATATACTAGCCGCCCAGTACACAAAATTCATGCACATTAAAGGGGAATTAATTAGAGGAAATATTTTAATATTGCTATATGCCCTTTCTTTATAATAGAAGTGTCAGAGATGAGTGAAAATTGGTAAAATGTATATGAAAATCTTCCTCCTGTCAGAGTCTGGGGCACACTGCAGGACCCAGAGTCAAGTCCCTGCCCACCTGCGTGCACCTTGAAATTGCACGAGACCCAGACCCGGCCGGCCCCACCCCCATTGGGCGAGGTCCAGACCCAGCCAGCACCACCCCCATCAAGCCCCGCCGGGCAGGGGGTGCAGCCTTAGGTCCCCCGGCCCAGCACTGGGGTGGGAGGCGCAGCCTGAGGTCCCCCATCAAACCCCGGCGGGCAGGGGATGTGGCCTGAAGTCACCCTTCAAGCCCCGCTGGGCCAGGGGCACAGTCCATGCTGATTGCTCCTTAAGGCTCATTACAAGAACGCTGCCTTCGCTGTGGGCGCAGCCATCTTGTGATGGCATGGTGGAATGGGGGTCAATTTGCATATTACCTATTTATTATATAGGATGGATTATATCTTAGTAAAAAATATATATGGTTTATATATTTACAGTTGTGAGTGAGCAAAGCAGTTTATTCTTGTATTAACTATTGATGAACAACTGTAAACCTACTTTTGCCCCACCCATGTATGTAGTGAGAACCAAAGGGAATAATGTAAGTGGGGGGCTTGTCAGCTGTCGGAGGCTCTACACACCTTTCTCTAAGTTCTTCCCTTGGACAAGGGAACTGAAGAACCAGGGAGGATGTGGCCCCAGGAGGGAGGGCGCGGCACAAGATGGCTGCAGGGCCAGGCGGGCTGTGATGGGGTTGGAGCTGGACAGGTTGGAGCTGCCCCAGGCTTGCTCCTGGGTGGGGATGGAAGGCCAGAGGTTGTCTCCTGGCACCTGGGGTGCAGGAATCTCAGGCATGTGGCCCTGAGCCCAAGGCTCCAGAGATTGGTCCTCCTCCCCAGGGTTGGGAGGCTGGGTGGGGCCTAAATGCAGACATGGGGCTCTGAGCTCCAGTGGCCTTTCCCTCAGCCCTGGCCTGCCCCACACTAGTGCCCTGCCCAGGCCGCTCCCTGTGGGGGACTGGGCTGAGGGGAGGGGCTGGGTGCATTCATATTTTCAGGTCTTTCCAGCCCTTGGCCAGCCTGGCAGCCTGACTAACCAGCTTCTCCAGGCCCAGGGGTTGGGGGAGGGGCGCGGCAGGAGGCAGCCAGCCCAGCCCCAGGCTGTGGCTGTAGTAGAAGGTGGCTGTCATGGTGCTCCCCCAGAGGCAGCCTCACTCACGGCTGCTGTGCCTCTTGGTGGCGCTGGTCTGGCCCCAGCCCTGCACGAGCCTTGGTGAGTGGGGGTCCAGGGATTGGGTGCACCTGCCCAGACCCAAGGGGCTGGGGCACCTGCTGGTGTGATTGGACCCTGGGAGCCCACATCCTCTAACTGGGAGAGGCAGCCCCAGGGCAGGGGGCCCCGGGACCCTCACTCCTCTCTCCATGGCCACAGAGCTGATCCCCTACACGCCGCAGATCACACCCGGGGACCTGGAAGGGAAGGTGACGGCCACCACATTCTCCCTGGAGCAACCGCGCTGTGTGCTGGACGGTCATGCCAGGGCTGCTGACACGGTCTGGCTGGTGGTGGCCTTTAGCAACGGTGCGTCCCAGTGCAGGTGTGGGCCTGGGGTGAGCGGTGGGGCTGAGGAAAGCTGCGGATCTGGGAGCCACCCACTGTGACGTTCCACAGCTGGGTGTGGATTGGGAGCTGGGCTTTGTGGAGAGGGGCCTCTGAGAGGGTGACAAGCCCTGCTTTGTGTCACAGGGGCCCTCTGGGTGCTGAAGGGCCAGGGCTGCAGGCCTTGGACCCAGCCGGGGATTGTGGCAAGGAAGGCCTGGCTTCACCCTCTTACCAGCCCCATCGGTCTGTCCCTCCTTCCACAGCCTCCAGGGACTTCCAGAACCCCAAGACCCTGGCTGAGATCCCCGCTTTCCCACAGCTGCTGACCGACGGCCACTACATGACGCTGCCCCTGTCCCTGGACCAGCTGCCCTGCGAGGATCCCGTGGGTGACATCCCCGTGCTGCGGGTGGGCAACGACCCTGACTGCCTGGCTGACCTCCACCAGCCATCCTACTGCAACACCCCCCTCCCTGGCCCCGGACCGTACAGGTGGGTCTCTCTGCCTGGAGCCTGGGATGGGGGCCTGGGAGAGGAGAGGTTTCAGGGACCAGGGCTGCCCTCCCTAGCCTTTCCCCAGGCCCCATCCTGGCTGCAGGCCTCGCAGGCCCTTTCTATTCAAAAGCCTTGGCTTCTTCCTCAGGGTTTGGGGTGGGAGGGTTGGGGGAGAGCAGCTGGGTGGCCGGCAGAATTCCAGCTTCCGGGTGGGCCCAGGGGGAGGAGGTAGCACCAGAGCTGGTGGGGTGGGGTGGGGTGGCAGGGCTGCACTCATGGGCCTGCTGTTTCTCCCCTGGGTAGATCTGGTGGTAAAGTAAGCACAGGCCCGAGTTCAGACCAGTCAGTGGGCATGAGGTGGGGAAGCAAAGGAAGAGAGGCACAAAGCGCCCAGGGGCTTGCTGAGGTCAGGTCAGAGCCGGGGTAGCAAAGCAGGTGTCCAGACGTGGGCTCCCCGGGCGCAGGATGAGGCCAGGTGTCCTCCGGGAGGCCAAGTCCAACTGGGAGAACCGTTCGTAGGGGGGCAGGGAAGGTGATGTGTGGTGGGCTGGGCCAGCATCTCCATCCGCCTCCCTCTGCCCTCTCACCAGCCCTGCCAGGTCCACCTCCCCCACCCAGGCCCACTTCCTAGCAGCCACCAGAGCCAGCTTCCCTCAGTGCCAGCCTGTCTGAGTCTCTTTTTAAAAATATGTTTTTATTGATTTCAGAGAGAGGAAGGGAGAGGGAGAGAAGGCTAGAAACATCAATGATGAGAATCACTGATAGGCTGCCTCCTGCACACCCCCTACTGGGGACTGAGCCTGAAACCTGGGCATGTACCCTAACTGGGAATCAAACCATGACCTCCTGGTTCATAGGCTGACACTCAACCACTGAGCCACACTGGCTGGGCTGCCCAAGCCTCTTGATGCTTAGAAACCTCCCGAGTTCCCCAGCCCCTCAAAGGCACGACCTCCTCCGCACGGCCTTGGTGCCCTCAGTGCCAGCTGCCTTCTCTGTGATCCTGGACTCTACGTGCACTCTCAACACACCCCTCCCTCTCTAGGCCTTTATCTGGGGTGCTTGCCCCTATTGGGGGGCCTTCCATGGCTTCAGAGACTCCATAAGCCAGCCGTTCTCCCCTGGGAGGCCTATAGCCCCAGCCCGTACCCCCTGCAGAGCCAAGGCTCACAGCCTGGCCCAGAAGAGCTGCCTTGAGTCCGGCTGTGTTGGGCGCCCGGCCTAGGGCTCTGAGCCTTCCCCCACCCCCTCTCCCCAGGGTGAAGTTCCTCCTGATGGACGCTGGGGGCTCACCCCAGGCCGAGACCAGGTGGTCCGGCCCCATCACTCTCCACCAAGGTACGCTGGGGAGGGGGTGTCCTGGCTCCAGTCTGTCCCTTACACTCGGTGAAATGGTCGTGCTCAGCTGCCCCCTCCACTCCCCGCTGCCGGGGGTCTGGGTGCCCGGTGGCAGTGTTCAAATCCGGCGAACCCTCCACACAGACACGGGTGCTGGGGGTGGGGCACCGGCTCTGTCCAGCCCCACATGTTTGCCACTCTTGGGTGCCCAGGCCCCAGCTCAGTCATGGGCAGCAGCAGCCTTCCCCTCCTATGGGAGCCAGCCCGGGCCCAGCATTGCTGGGTGAGAAGAAGGGCCAAAGCGAGGAGGGCAGTCCTTCAGGGCCACGGGTTCTGGGAGGCTTCCCTCAGCAGGGCCCCAGGAAGCCAGCATGAGTCACCAGGCCGAGGACACGGCTTGTGTGAAGACCAGATGTCCGGTGTGGGCGATGCCTGGGAGATGGGCTGCAGGAGCTGGGGATGGGGCGGGCGCTTGTTGTATGCCAGGCTCCAGGGAGCAGGGCAGCCACGCGGTCAGTCTTCAGGTCTGCCGCTGCTGGGTGTGCCAGGGGCGGGCACATTGGTGGGAACAGCCTAGAAGGTGAGGCTAGGGTGGAGGCTGGAGCGATGGGTGGTCCAGGCTACGGGCACAGATGCCCTCTGAGATGGACAGATGTCTGTGGAGGAGAGAGCCCAGCCTTGCTATGAGCATGGGTGAGGGCGACTGCCCTGGGGTCCGAGGGCAGCCTCTGAGCATCGCTGTGTGTGCAGGGAAGTCTCCGGGCTCCATCGACACGTGGCCAGGGCGGCGGAGTGGCGACATGATCGTTATCACCTCCATCCTCTCTTCTCTGGCCGGCCTCCTGCTCCTGGCCTTCCTGGCTGCCTCCACTGTGCGCTTGTGAGTGGTGACACTCTCAGGGCCCCTTCCCACCTGGAACCCTTCCCCTGAGGGGTTCTGACACTCCCTGCCCACCTGAGCCTGGAAAACCTCCCTGTCCCTGTGGTTTTGAGCTGGGAAGTCTCCCTGGAAGGGCTGTGCAGAGAATTCCCACCTGAGTCTCTCCCTGGGCGGTCAGAGAGGTGGTCCAGCAGCTCTTCTAACCACAGGTTCAGAGAAGGGGCCACCTGGCTCTGCCTCTGTCCATCAATGTGTCCTTTGCTTTGGCCCTTGTCCTCCTGGGCCTTGGTTTCTCAGTGAACTGACACTGGGGTAAGCAGAGTGGCCACCTGGAGGAGGCAGGCCTCCAGCTTGTTCTAGAAGGGAGGGCAGGGAGATCAGAGGCGGCAGGAGGAGGGATGTGGGAGTGGGGAGGAGGCCCTGAAGTGGCAGCCAGCCTCACCCGGCAGTGACACCGCTGCTCCTCCTCTCCCTGTCCAGCTCCAGCCTGTGGTGGCCTGAGGAGGTCCCTGAGCAGCTTCGGATTGGCTCCTTCATGGGCAAGCGCTACATGACCCACCACATCCCGCCCAGTGAAGTGGCCACCCTGCCTGTGGGCTGCGAGCCTGGCCTGGACCCCCTCCCCAGCCTCAGTCCCTAGCCTGGCCTGCGTGCCTGGGGCTGGGGCACTGGGCGGGGGTGAGGGGGAGACCAGGGTACAGTGCTCCTTCTCAGCCCTTTCACCCACATGGCCCACCCATCACACTCCCCCTCCCTGAAATCCCACCACTAGCTACTGGAATGCGGTCCCATTCTGCCCCCCGCCCTCCCCCTTCTCTCCAGGCAACTGAAGTTGTATGCAGGGGAGTTGGGCGAAGGCTATGGTCAAGCTGGGTACCCAGCCCCCCACCTCCATCCCTTCCTCTTGCGAGTTGAGGCTGGAGGTACTGTGCCAAGGCCCCCCTGACTGGAAGCTGCCAGGCCCCAGGAAGAGGCCTTGGTCTGTCCTGTGCAGGGAGCTGAACTGAACCCATCACTGAGGCTGTGAGGCCTGAGCCTCCCTGTCCCTCTGTCTGTCCCACCTGCCAGTGTCTGGGGATGCAGTGAAGTCTCCAGAGACCCCTTCATTGTCCCTGGGCACAGGCCCTTCCTGGGGGTGGCTAGAAGGTCAGACGGGGCGTAGGTGCATGTATGACCATCCGGCCACTGATTTGGGCCACCACTTCCAACCCCCTTGCACACACAGAGGGCTCACACACTGCTCTACGCACGCTCACTCCGCAAACATTGTTGAGTGCCTGCTGCATGTCATGCACAGTGTTAGACTGGGGGCCTCAGGCAAATCTTGGGGAGCTCACTCATTGCTCCGGACCTCAGATGACCTCATGCCCAGGTGTGACCTGTTACTGTTGGGAGGCGGTCACGCCCGCAGATTGTCACATACCCTGGGGCTCACACTCCCCCAGACAATCACCCCATTGGTTCTTTGGGTTCCATGACCAGCCCTCGCTGGTGGACAGGCTTCATTACCCGCCCGCCACCCCTGCGTCCATTGGCCCACAAACCTGGTGGTACCCGCCATGGCCACACGAGGGCGCCAGTGCACCGCAGCTGTTGCCGCACAGCCCCGCAGGCTCATTCCCATTCACAGACCGGTAGGGCTCTGTTGGGCGGAGGGCTCCGGCCTGGAGCCTCAGCAGGCTCTCTGGAGGTCAGGGCTCCAGGCCCCATCTCCACCGAGCTAGAGGGATGAGCAGCCACGCTCCCGCTTGAGGACCCACTGCGCGCTTTCCAATCCACACAGCCCTCGATGGAGAAACTGGGGCTCAGTGACTTGCCCGTTGTGCTCTGTCCACTGCCACCGGACCCCCTAGACTGACTGCGACCCCCTGCGGGGGCCTGCGGGCACAGGTGCCCTCTCTTTCGAGGTGAATAAATGCTGTCTGGCTTTCTCAGCTGCGTGGTGCCTGTGCTGATTTCAGAAGAGGAGCATGTATGCCTGGGGTCCAGCCTGGCCGTGCTCTGTCCAGCCCCACTGCCACCAGCCCAGGGCTGCCCTGAGCCTGTCCCCTTGATCGCTAGACCTAACTGTGCTTTGGGGTGCCCCCATGTCCTGACAGGCCCAGGAAAACCCACCCTTAGTTGCAGGGCCAGGAACCAGCTGCTAAGCCATTTCTGTGGCAGGCACTTCAGGGGAGGCTTTGCTTTCAAAACCCATGCACTCTTGGCTCCAGGTGGTCTTTCCCTCTCCTGCCTGCACCCTATCCTGCCTGCACCCCACCAGCCACGCTACCCCCTCCAGGCGCAGACAGAGCAGTCAGATGCAGCCAGGAGCTCAGGCCCCGTGTCCTGGGTAGCATCTGCTCCTGGGAGCCAGCCCCTTTGGGCAGCCTCCTTTGAAATTCTACTACTTTGAAGCCCAGGTCCCTCCTGACCTGGAATTGGAGGAGGGTTCAAATGCCCCCACCTCCCCCTCACCAGCTGCCCCTGGCAGAGTCTATCTCACACTGTCCTGTCCAGACCTGGTTCCAACTCCAGATGAGGAGGCTCCTGAGGCCCCCGATGCCCAGCTTGGGGCCTGCCAGGAGGGCGCGGTGGGGAGGGGAGAGTCTGCTGGTGTTTGCTGAGTGAGACCATGAGCAAACCCTTCGGGCAGGGGGATTGGCCAGGGGACATGCTCCGGGCTCTTCCAAGTCCCGGGGTCGCTTGCGGCTTGTTCCCAGTGCCAGCGTCTGCGCTGGTCCCAGGCACAGCCCGTGACAGGCTGAGCATGCCTAGGACGCCCCTCCTTCCTGAACAGCCCCCACCCGCCCTCTGAGGAGCCGCTCTCACCCCATCTGGCTGCCGGGGGCTTGAGCAGAGAGACAGGCTCCAAACAGACATTGCAACACACGGGAGAAGACTGTGACGAGCTGGACAGCCCAGGGGAGGCCGCTGACCCCACCCGAGGGTCACGGGGCTCCTGGTGGTGATTTCTGAGCTGAGTCTTCTTTTATGTTTTATTTTATTTTTTATTGATTTCAGAGAGGGAAGGGAGAAGGAGAGAGAGAGATAGAAACATAAATGATGAGAGAGAATCATCAATTGGCTGCCTCCTGCATGTCCCCTACTGGGGATTGGGCCAGCAACCAGGCAGGCGGCT